GTCAATGTCAAGGTCAATGTCAAGGTCAATGTCACTTGCAGGGTTTGAATAAATTATTTTTGTGCCTGATGCACGCGCTTTTCTTATGCGTAGTTATGAGAAGCCACCTCGTATTTTTTCATGTATATTATTAATAGATAATCACATGATTTTCTCGTGCAATTTGGAACAAATAAGCACTTGTAAATTTTTTCAGACCACAAATTGCACTTGCCCTACAGGCTCTTGCAATTTTGTTAGTCTTTGAAAAAATTTACTCATGCTTATTTATTCCAAATTGCACTTGAAATCATGTGATTACCTATACAAATTGCAATTGAAAACTGATAATTATCACACTTGTCTCTTCACCATTTGTGTGATATCGGTTTTTGTGTGGGATATTGGTTTTTACATGTGGAATTCCCTTGTCAGATACTGAATTTTCCTGTAAAATCCGTCATTCCTATTCTCTATACAACATTCCAATATGCTCACTAGTATGGTCAGCAAATCAGTCTGAATTTTGTCATAATTATGTCATTTCATCAGTAATCCAAGCTACAGATATTTTGGCCCTGATGATGAGTAGGAAATTTGTGTTTGCAGTCATGTAGCAGACAGTAACAAAATATTGTCAAAAGTAAATGCAAGATTTACGGTATTAGTAAAATGACAAAAAACTGTATCACAAAACGTATTGTTACAGAATTTGAAATGCATATCATCCATGTCACTGCCACATAGGGCCAACAAACACTGCAGGCAACTCTCGTTTCATTCTCAAAAAAAAAAAACCCTCCTTGGAATCACTACTACCCCCTCTGGGCTGAGTATGAGCATTAACTGGAATCTCACTACAAATCTTCCGTGAAAAGAGAGAACTTCATTAATTGTAAAACGATATCTGTACTGTCACAGGATTGATTTACACCACAAGATATAGCCGCTAAAATGGCCGACGTGACGTCGTAAAAAAAAATAGCAATTCTAAAAGTCTGAAAGGAGAAATGGTAATATTTTCCATGTATTATACGAGAGAATACCTACTACAATACATACATCTTATTAACCAAGTGCGAGGGCCGTACTGGGAGAATATTGGCCCGAGGTCTTGACAGTACGGACCGAGCGCAGCGAGGTCCGTACCAAAAAGACCGAGGGCCGATATTCTTCCAGTACGGTCCCGAGCAAGCTTTTTAGTTATTGGCCCTCTGACTGCCCGAGTTGTGTAGTAATGATTGTTTTTAGCGGTTTGGTGGGGATATGGTAAACCAAAGCAACATTAAGAGCTCCGCAAGCTCTGTACACTTGCTAATCGTACGTCACATGAATTTCACTTAAAAACAGACAACAATTTAAGATGTGTTTTCCTCTGAGCGACTTCTTCTTTGTCACTTAAATTGAATGAATAATACAGAAAAAAAATTTCCTGTGGAATTCTGTCACAATACTTCTGTTCAAATTCATCCTAGAATCCGGTATTATGGGCAATAGTGCTTTACAATGTATTCGGGAAACGAATTGCTCGCTTTTACATAAAGGTGTTTTGAAATTATGAAACGCTTTACCAATCTTACCTCACAAAACTTCGGTATTTTATCCATCTCTTCTCTTATTCCCGGTATGAGCACAATACACGACAAAATTAACCCAAAGAGTAGAAAGATGGAGTAGACAATTCTCGTCGATGTGGAATTCTTGCAAGAAGGGCAAGCTTTACAGCACAAACCACAAGCAGCAGAACCACAACAACATGCTATATTTGCAGCGCAAGTAGCCGCCGAGCAAGCACCCAGAACAGCTCCCATGTTGGTGAGGAAAGTGATGAGTATTTCTTACTTTCTTGGGGACGAAATTGGGTCTAAATCGATATGGTAACCCTTAAAAATGGATTACAAACGTCGCAGTAAGTTGACAATCTCGCGAGTGGAATAGGCTAGTTTCGAATTGTTAGTGCGAGAAAGTCTGGTAATTAGTTTTTAGCACCAAGACGAGGCTGAGGGGAATAGAAGTCGTCTCAGCAGCGAACCATGCCAACTTTGCCGAAATGAAAGTATCTGAGCTTCAAAAGTTTTTAAGAGAAAGAGATATTCAAATTTCTATTAACGGTAAGAGTAGGAGAAGAGCAGAACTACTGGAGCTATGTAAGAATGCAGCGGAAATAAAAGTTCCAAAAATTGAAGAGAAACACGATGAGTTAATTAATTCCAAGATAACAGTGCCAGGAGGAAAATTACTTCCCCATCCACTTTCGCTCAAGGATTAGACTCATGACTTTACTGGTGTTCCATACTGCAGGTTTCCTGATAATTACCATTATCTTGTTGGAAAAGATGGCTACGATGAAGACTGTTGACGTTCGTACAAAAGTCTCGAGGGTTTTCGCTTGTTTGTGGACGGGCAAGTGGAGGATCTGAACTACCACGATTTAAGTGATGACGAGACAGGTAAAAAGGATGGATACTGTTATTTCCAGTTCAAAGTAAAACCTACTGAAAGGTCCAAAACCGAAGATGGAAAAGACTTCTACTGGGGTTTTATCGTTCTTCAATATACTGGAAGCATTTACTCTGCCTACTGTGCTTGCAAAGGCGGGTGAGTCATGTGTGTGCCATATTTTTTCCTTTTCCTTACAAGCGAATGAACTGATGGTTTTTTACTTTTTAATGTTTTATTTGATTTCTGTGCGAATGAACTCAGACTCTTTAAGGTATAAGAGACTAGTGTCCTATTATTTTGTTTCTTATAATAGTGCTGATGGTGCATGCAGACATACAGCTGCTGCTCTGTTTGATTTGGAAGCAACTATTAGAAGAAATGACTTGGAGACTTGCACGTCAGTTTCTTGCCTTTGGGTGAAACGGAAAAGAATCACAGAAAATGTTGTTCCAATGGAAAATTTTAAATTTCAAAAATCAGAGTATGGAAAAATATCCAAGGATTGTCCAAAA